CTGCAGCCCCCTCCTACGCCCTATGCACTTTATCCCCAGCCCCACCCCAAAGGCCTCACCCCCCCTCCCACACCCCAACCTGGAGCTCCTGCCCACATGTAAAACCCCTTCTTTTTGGCCCCACGCCGGAGCTTAGGGGAAGTCCAGAACTTCCATACCCCCCTCCATGGGGCTGTGTGTGGCCTGCGACTGATTTTTTTCTGGGGATTAGCGGCCCATGATAGGAAGAAGGTTCCCCACCCCTGGGGGTACGTCTACACTACAGTGCTAGTTCGAACTAACGCATTCCTGCCCACATGTAAAACCCCTTCTTTTTGGCCCCACGCCGGAGCTTAGGGGAAGTCCAGAACTTCCATACCCCCCTCCATGGGGCTGTGTGTGGCCTGCGACTGATTTTTTTCTGGGGATTAGCGGCCCATGATAGGAAGAAGGTTCCCCACCCCTGGGGGTACGTCTACACTACAGTGCTAGTTCGAACTAACGCATCTAGAACTAAAAACTAGTTCGAACTAGCTAGTTCGAACTAAGCGCTCCGCTAGTTCGATTCAAATTCGAACTAGCGGAGCGCTTAGTTCGAACTAGGAAAACCTCATTTTACGAGGACTAACGCCTAGTTCGAACTAGCTAGTTCGAACTAAGCGCTCCGCTAGTTCGATTCAAATTCGAACTAGCGGAGCGCTTAGTTCGAACTAGGAAAACCTCATTTTACGAGGACTAACGCCTAGTTCGAACTAGCTAGTTCGAACTAAGCGCTCCGCTAGTTCGATTCAAATTCGAACTAGCGGAGCGCTTAGTTCGAACTAGGAAAACCTCATTTTACGAGGACTAACGCCTAGTTCGAACTAGCTAGTTCGAACTAAGCGCTCCGCTAGTTCGATTCAAATTCGAACTAGCGGAGCGCTTAGTTCGAACTAGGAAAACCTCATTTTACGAGGACTAACGCCTAGTTCGAACTAGCTAGTTCGAACTAAGCGCTCCGCTAGTTCGATTCAAATTCGAACTAGCGGAGCGCTTAGTTCGAACTAGGAAAACCTCATTTTACGAGGACTAACGCCTAGTTCGAACTAGCTAGTTCGAACTAACTTTCTAGTGTAGACATACCCTGGGTTAGTAAGACTGGTTAACCAGGTAATACTAGATAGGCGTATTTATGCCAGTACTCCCATAAAGGAAGGTGACTACGCCATATCTTTATAACAGTGACAGGAGGGGTTCTACCTTCACTATTGCCCTGAGAGACGATAGCTAGGTCCATGGAAGAAGTCTCCCATCAACGTAGTGCTATCGACATAGGACTACGCCTCTCACGGGGTCGGGGGTTTTGCACATGCTTGAGCAACCTGGCTGGGTCAATCTAGTGTAGATCAGTCCTAGGTCAAATAAAAACAAAATCACCCCCTAGCTGAATTAACAGCACTAGTTCAGAAGCTGTGTTACACCAGGCCTCGGTGTCCAGCGCTCACTTGCTTCCGGCGTAAGCAGAACAGGCATTTGCTAGATGGCTTTGCTCTAGAAAGGGGGACGTTAGATCTATGAGCGTGTCTAGACTACAGAGTTTTGTCGACAAAAGTGGACTTTTGTCAACAAAACTAAACCTGCGTCTACACTACCGCCGCGTTCAGTCGACAGTAAGTCGACCGAACGCGGCAGTTCTGTCGACGGCGGTAAACCTGATTCTACGAGGAATAAGGCCTTGGGCGCTATTGAACCACACTGTGCTTTTTCAAAAAAGAGCATCTACACTCTCTGTCGAAAAAGCGGCTTGCTTTTTTGACAGAACTGGTTGTAGTCTAGATGCTTTTTCGACACAGGCTTTGTTGACGGTATGGTTGACAAAGCCTCAGTCGACAAAAGCCTGTAGTCTAGACATACCCTGTGTGTCCATCCCTGGTTTGGGACCCAGATCTCAGCTACATCTGGTTTTGATGGGGACCATCCTACCCCTTGTTCCTCCAGACTCTCCTTTATTGGATTGCACCTGTACAAAGGTGAGTGTGAAAGGCCCATTGGGTTGGAGTTGCAGAAGGAAACCCTGGCCTGAATCCTCCCGTCAGCTGGAATGGATACTAGGTCACAGGCTTGGACAGAACATGGGAGGGGAGAAAAACCTGAACTGGATTTCTATGGCCTTCAGGAATGGATGCAGGACAATGCACCTGATGAGATGAACCTGACATTGGAATCCTGTGCTCACCTGGGACGGATTCTGGACCCAGTCTTAGGGAGTGTCTACACTGGCGACAAAACAGCGAGAGCGTTTACACTGCAATGAGACTTTGGTCAGGAAAAACACCCAGTTTTGGTGACATAAAACTTCCAGCCCTGCGAAAGACTTTTGTCTTTTCCCTTCTCTTTATTGTCAACAAATAGCCAGTGTGGACTCTGCTGTTTGTTTTGTTGAGAGAACTGGCTTCTGTCAGTATCCTACAATGCCTGCCGTGATGGCTGTGCTCAGTGTTTCGGGATCTCTGCTGCCCTGCAGGCTGCACCCCTTCCCCTTTCGAAGCTCCAGGAAGTGTCTGACAGCGGTGAAAAATCCCCTTTCTCTGCAGCGCCGCTTTACAGGCTGAGCTTCCCAGCCGGAGATCCTGGGCAGGGTCCTGCAAAGCTTGTTTCTTCTGCACGGCCAGTCGCAACTGGACACAGGAGAAGGTGCGAGCACCATAAGCACTGAGTGTGCCTGGCACCACGTGGTTTCAGGAGCAGAGGAGCTACGAAGATACCCTGCGTGGGGGGAAACAGCAGCTAAAAGCCCTGCCAGAGCTGAAACTCTTTGGGAATGTGGAAGCCAGCCTAAGAAAGCTGGAGGAATACTGTGCTCTACAGAACACCCCTCCCCCCCGCCCCAGGGCTCTCAGAGAGCCGGCTGTGAGCACAAATCTCTACGTCTGCTTTATTCCTCATTACTAAGACCATTTCAGCTTGTTGCATGTTGTGTATTTTCCGCAGAATCCCCTTTTAGGGCTTGATCCTGTAACCACGCAGGCTCCGTCTACCCTGGGAAGGTTTGGCGCCAAAGCGCTGTCGACGTGCAAAAGTCACCAAAAGTGAAAACCAGTTTTTCTGCCTCCCGTTGTCGACATTTCATGGTCACTTTTTGGCGACTTTTGCCTGGCGACAGCACGTTTGTGGCCAACCCTTCCCGGTGACATAGCCTTAGGAAGGAAGTCAAAACACGAACTGGATTCCTATGGTCGTAAGGACTGGATGGAGGCACAGGCCAGGGTGGAGCAGGAAGGCTGGAAAGACGGAGAACCTGAACTAGATTTTTATGGCCATCCGGAATGGATTCACTCCAGAGCCAAGAAGAAAAAAACCCGGAGTTGGACTCCTGTGTTCATGGGGAAGGGATTAGGACAGCAGCCAACACCCCGATCCTCCAAAGCTATTTAGGGGTCTAACGCTCACTGATTTCAGTGGGGGCCAGGGACTGAAATGCTGTGGGAGGAGGGCCTCGTAGAGCGGAAAAGTTGGATGAAGAGAGCCTTGCGCCATGGGAGGGGTGCTGAGGGGAACGTACCTGAGCCCAGCAGCGGGGACTCCAGGCTCAGGCTGGGCAGGGTCGCGGTGTGGCTGAAGGACCGCGAGGAGTTGCCGATGCTGGAGCTGACGAGGGAGCCCCCGGAGAAGGGAGAGGAGGAGGTAACCGTGGAGCCAGCCAGCTGGGTTCCCGGCACCTCCTTGTTCTTGCCCCCCTTCCCTCTGCCTGGCCCGTGCTTGCTTTTCTTGCTGCCCTTGTGCTTCTTCTCCTTCAGCACCTCCCCGTCCTCGATGCTGAGGGACGGCATGCGCTTGTGGCTGGGGCCGCCGCCTCCCCCGGAGGGGCCGCTCACCGGGTTCGAGGCCTTGTAGTCCACAGGGGAGGCTACGTGGCCCCGCTGCTGGCTCACCGCCGAGGTGGAGAAGCGCATGATGGACCCGAAGCCGGAGAAGATGACCTTCTGTTCAAAGACGTCCCCTTTCTGCCCTTCATACAGCGGGGAGCAGTGGGAGGAGGAGGAGGTGGAGGAGACGGGCTTCCGGTACTTCTCTTCCTCCTGCTCGAGCTTGGGGAATGTCACAAACTCCTGGGAGCACTGCAGCGAGCTGCACGAGGTGCCTAGGGGGTGCAGAGAGGAGAGAAGAGGGAAGCAGCAATTCAGAACTCAGCTCCTCCTGCTGCACAAGCCCCAGATGCCTGAGCTAACGGAGCATCACCATCGGCAGTATAGGGTCTAGGACACACCGCGCAGCAGTCCTCCCCAGCAGAGAGCAGAAGAGGTGAGCTAGCAGGCCCATGGCGACACTAAAGATCCCACTACACCCTTCAGTGAGAGAGAGGCATTTTGTCCCCAATCCCCCACCATCACGCAGAGAACCGTCTGTGGGGAAGTGACTGCCCCTCCAGCCTAGTTCAGAGTCCCACGGGATGGAAGGAGCTAGAGGAGGTTCTAGCGAGGTCAGAACCAAGGCTCAGGGGTGCTTGGATGCAGGGTTTTGGTTTGGGCCCATCTCAAAGTGAAGGAGGGGAGACCATTGACTCAAGGGAAAGGCAGGTGCTGCACAGGCTGTCTCCGAGGATTTTCCTTTCCCTCCTCCCTTTATTCTGACAGATGGAACCTTCCTCTCCTTGCAGGGCAGACAGGCCCGTTCAGGAGGGTCACTCCAGTCCACAGCTAACCCATAAGCAAAAGCTTATAGGTTAATGCTAGAGACGAGGCACATTTCCCCCTGCCTCTGCCTGTACATTTTTTAGCAGGCTGGCTAGCAGCCTGGCTCAGTTCCACCTCGCACCAGGTCTGGGAGCTCAGACTCCCCCCCCCCCCCCCCCCAGGGGCCGGG